TAAATACATTGGCACTCACAATTGTGAAATGGACACATTCAGTAGGAATCATTTTAACTTGAATGTTGACTTGATTTCTCTTGTCTTGATTCCACACATTGAAGCATCCATAAGGTACAAGATCAAAGAGTGTATAATATTTGTCCGTCAGGTATTTGGATATACCATTACCAAAATAAAGGCATTTCTCGAGCGTAAACGTGCGTTTGAAATTGTTTATGGTAACTAGGAAAAGTCTTTTGCCTCTCTACCCAGGTACATGGCTGCATTACAACACTTTAACCCCGGGACTGTTGTTGAATGGAAGCTTGAACGAAGTCCGAGAATACCAGGGCATTTAAACCAGCCATTGATGGTTTTGTGCATTGTCGGCCAGTAATATCCATAGACGACACTCTTGTCTAAAGAAATTATGATATTAAGTTGTTGATCGATGTTGCAGTAGATGCTAATGGAAGTATATTTCCCCTAGCATTTGCTATTTGTGCCAATGAAATCCAAGAAACGTCGACATTATTTTTGAACCACTTGAAGGAGTACGTTGTCAGACAGTGTTCAGGTATTTGTCTAATATCTGATCAGCATGGCCGTATTTTATATTCTGTACAGAATATGCGTGCATGGCAGGAACCATATGACTATCACCGTTACTATGTTAGGCACTTGAAGGCCAACTTCTAGAGGGCTTATCCGAAGAAGTACTTGCATGATTTAATGTGGATGGCTGCAACAGATTACCAAGAATGTAAATTCAGGAGGCGAATGGAATTGATCAAGCATGAAGACCAAGGAGCCTATAGTTGGTTGATGCGACATGAGCTTGACAAGTGGACTTTGCATGCGGATGGAGGCAGGAGATGAGGAATTCTGACTACAAATGTGTTAGAGTCTTTCAACGGGTTATTGAAGTCTGCACGTGGATTATCTGTCACTACCATGGTGCGGATGTCATTCAAGCAGATGGCGGGGAGGTTTATTGAAAGACTGAGAGGTGCATCATCGTTGATAGAAATGGGCGTTGAATTTATGCCAATACCAATGAAAAGATTTGAGAAATACAGGAAGCGAGCACAGTGGCATTCATTTTTGTACTATTTCAACGAGCGAAATATTTTTGAAGTTCACACCGCTATTCATCACAACCAGGGGAATAATACACACATTGTCAATAAAGCCAAAAGGTTATGCTCCTGTGGAAAATGGTCCATCTCTCACATGCCATGCTCACATGCCATAAATTGTTTTTAACATACAAGTTTTGCGGCAACGAGGTACGTTGATAAAAAATATAGTATTGTTGCATACTTAAACACCTATAGTGGACAGTTGCAGCCAGTGGGTGCTGAGCATTATTGGTCGTTGGAACCATTTAAAATGGTGTGTAACAAGGAGTATATGCGTCAATTACAAGTGCAGAAAAGAACGCATATACGGAACTAAATGGATGTTGGTGATACAGTTTATGCGCATAAATATGACATATGCTCGCAAACAGGACACGACCGTCGTAAATATACTTCAGTTGGTTTGGGTAGTGGTGGTAATTTAGCTCCTGCTGGAGGTTCATCCAATATGCCCAATTATGAAGGATACACGTAGTGTTTTGTTGCAGTAATTTGTTGTAATAAGTGTATGTACATGTTCAGCTTGCAAAATGTATGAAATAAAATTATATTTCCATTGGGTTTAAATCTAATTGATATTTAGTATCAATACTTCAGTACAACAATTTAACATACACCCCAATAAAAAAAAATCAATTGTCATTCGCCATTATCGTCGCTGTCTGGCACTATTTCATTGTCACTGTCTTCATCTTCTTTCTCAACATCGTGTACGTACCCTTCGGGATTGAGGACATTGTAATCTAGGCCCCGGTTAACACACATTTCTCGTATTTCATCGTTATCATCAATAAGTCCACTTGCTTGATTTCTACAACAATATGGGACTCCTACGTCCAATGTCTGTGGTAGAAACATAGGTAGTCCCTCCCAATCGGCAACTATTGGGAAAATAGGATAATCATTGTCTCTATGCAATTTCTCATTTTCTAATAAATCCCAGTACTGATCCTCCGTTCCTCTCATTAATTTAAGATCATCCATTGCATGATGAATAATTAGTTCCTTTTCCATCTCCAAAATCTCCTTCATCAAATGTCGAATCACTTCTGGTTCATCTTTGTGTGTATTTGTTTGGAAGGTTGCAGATAGTGCTTGTGGCATAACAAGACCATGCCAGCAGCATAGTACTTCATAATCACATCGTTTTGAGTAAAGGGGAACCCATTGTAGTTTTTCGCCCCAAATTCGCATACCTTCAAGCTTTGTAGAATGCACTTCGCCCTCAATAATATGCCCTGAAACTTTGAGATCAGTGTGTATATTGATGGGATTATTTTCCAAGGTACGTAGAATACCATACCACATATCATCAACCAAATCAGTATAGCAACCTAGCATATGTTTTTCAAGGTGTTAAGACATGTTCCATGGGGATCTGTTGAACTACCTTCATCCTTTTGCCTCTTTTTGAATCACTTATTAAATGTTAGTGGCATTCTTTAAATGGATGTTGTAATGTTTCTTCAAAGAAGTTATCTTGTACCCGAAAGAATCATTACCACGTGAAGCATAACATGCCACCAATATACGTTATGTGTATTGTCTTGTCGATCTGCAAAAGCTGTCGTTCTAGAAAAGCTATCTTGCACCCTAAAGAATCATTATCACGCGAAACATAGCGCGCCACCAATATGTGTTATGTGTATTGTCTTGTCGACCTGAAAAAGTTGTTGTTCTGCAAAAGCTGTCTTGTAACCTAGAGAATCATTATCACACAAAACATAGCACGCCACCAATATGTGTTATGTGTTTTATCTTGCCTATAAAATCCCAACGCATTTTAGTTATTATTTGCACTTAACCAAACAAATAGAAAAACTTTTCATAAATTTTTCATTTTTCTTGCATTAAGAAATGTTTGGACGCAATAACGTACCAAGGTGTTATTGTGGCAAACGTGCGATTTTGAAGCCATGTTGGTCAAATAGTAATGTGGGGCGCAAATGCTGGATCTGTCAACAACTTGTAAGTTATTGTTTTGGAAATAAAAATTGTTAATATTTTTTATATAACATGTTAATTAATAGTGTTGTGTTATAATCCCCATTGGTTGGACGGAAATCAATGTAGATTTGAAGAATGGTATGATGAACCCATTAACCAGGAATACTACAAGTCATGTTTGCAGTATGTTTGGAATATGACCAGTGAATACGAACTCCAGATCTTTAAACTACAACAACAACTTGTGGCAGTGAAGGAGAAACTAAAAGATGCAGAAGAATAAAAAAAAATAGGTTGGAAGAGAAATTTAAGTGGTTGAAGCACAGAATAATGGGCTATAGTTTCTAAACAAATACATGGATGTGTTCAGTGTAGTATTTTATCTTTATGTTTTACATGTCATGTATTTTCATTAATTGTACCGAATTTATATTATGTTGAGTTGTCGTTTTTGTTTTTGTGTTGTAGTATTAAACTAATAAATAATCCGAGAAATAAAAACACATGCGCAAATAATGTAAAACATAAATAATGTTGCTATTATATACTTAATGTCATATGTACAAATAATCAAAAATGTCAATGTGTCCCACAGCCTGTAGTCTTTAAAGCATTGGCTCGCATGAGGCGCATCCCATCCCGCCTGGATACACTATCAGGATCATCCTTATCACGTCGCCTCTTTATCGGAGGATGCACTGCATTATGATCATCGATAAGGTTGGCAGGCTCGGTAGAAAGGATCATCGGTCCAATAGTAACCTATAGAATAATAAGATATTTTAGTATAAGAAATATATATTACTAACGTACGTGTTACCTAAATGATTTTTAATGGTCTTACCATGGTCTCGGCGGGCTCCTGAATATAATCATCCATCTCAAACATGTCAGTATCGCACACAGTGGCCTCCGTGAAGGGCGAGGATGATGTCTTTAAAAAAAATAAAAACGCTTTAGATACTGATGACTAATTAATGAGATAAAAAAAAATATAAATAATAGTAATACAAAAAAAACATGCGCCTGTGAAGGATCCTCATCATCCCTCGATAATGACCCATAACTCAATCGGTGCCCACTATGCACATCTCGTGTATGACGATCATCAGCAACCGTCTATGGCTCTAGGGGACCAGGAAAATACTAATCCCACTCCTGTCGCGTAATGGCCGTGCCCGCGATCAACAATGGAGCTGACGGGGTCACCTACGAAGTCCCTGGCGTCAGCTGAAGGCTGAATGACGGCATATCATGAGGAGCATCGTCTGGCTCAGGGTGGTCACCCGGCTGATCAACTCCAAAATCCTAAACAGGTGGCTCAACGCCCCCTTGCTGGGGACCATGTCCTCGCCGATCCCCCACGACTTCGTGGGACACCCCTTCCTCTCTGGACATGCCTGCCACGTCGACCACGTTCAGGATCTACTGCTGGCCCACGATGGTACTGCTCTAGCGGCACATAATCAGCCTCGTATCCTAAGCGCTCATCATCTCGGGCTCGCCTCAATGTTCGGGAAGCCAGATTTGTAACCTGCCAGCCATAATTATGCAAATCTATCACTCCCTCGCCGGTATGTTGCTGCATCTGCAGTCCCATCTGGTAGAACATATGTAAGCCAATAGCCTGCACAACATGTAATATATTAATTATAGAATGATAGGTTAACGTTATAAGTAAGTATAACAAATAACATACCAGTGCATCATGCCTCCCGGCATATGGAATGTACCGACCACCAGCGCGATGAACGGGATTCCCGACGAAAGTCAGGTAATGCTGAGATACCATCCTATATACTCATGCTCACCATCCGTATGCTCAGGTGGAGTGGGTGGCGCAATCAGGTCATACCGACAGTCCCAAATCTCAATTTGCGCCTCTAGCTAGGCCACGTTTGTCTGGTCAACCCTGGAATGATCATCCCACTAGTAATGTGTCCTAAGCCAAGCAGGCGGAGTAGGTACAAGCTGCAGTCGACCAAACTGGCGAAGGACTCGCTCCGTGGCATGATGCTCGACAATATCGAGACACATCAATGGGACGGAAGAGCTCCACATAACTCGGCCGCTCGAGCAATAATCGGGAAAACAAGCTATTAGCTTGTCATTATATGGCCTCCATATGAACTATTAAGTAAAAACAGGAATCGTGAGTAAACACAACACATATAAAGCCAGGCCAAGTAAACTTAAGTATACATGTACCTGTGCGCCTTCAAGAAAATCCAACAAATCCCTGTAATAGGGGAGATTATGTCGAGCCTCGACCTCTCGTCTGTAGCCTCGCCTATCAACCCACCTCCTAGCTAAAGGGAGAAATGGTAGAGGTGGTGCATCCGGAACGATGGGTGGTAGAGGTGGCTGGAACTGCAAGAACCGCTCCCATGCCCAAATCTAATATACATTGTTAACGTAAATGTTATGTTATTATTTTACTGTGTATGTTATAATCATGAAAAGAATTGACTATGTTTTCACCTGCAGTAGCGGCAAAAATCTGGCAACGTCTCTTAGGGTGCCAATGCTCTCCCGGCACATCTGCCTATAAAGGTAACCTAGAACAGCTGCACCCCAACTGTAACTAGGTAACTCATCTAGCCGCTCAAGATGATGAAAAAATCTCAAGCTGACTAGGTTTCTCGAAGTGTTAGGGAATAACACACCACCAAACATCAGCAGCATCACCAATCTCGTGTACCAGTCGAGAAGAAGATCTGGTGTATCATCCGCAATGTCCCCATCCATCGCCCCCAGATACTGCCAGACGGGAGTCAACTGCAAACGAGTGGCCCCACTCAATGCAGTCTCTTCCACTAGCTGGAAAACAGTGAACCGCTGCAACATCTGTAGGTAATCAAATCCCATATATTCTCTAATAGCATGCAGTAAAGCTACAGGTAATCCATCAACCGCTAGGCCAAAAAGAACCTCTACATCCTGAAGCGCGATGGTAGCCTCGTTGATGGGTAAATAAAACGTATGCGTCTCCGGTCGCCATCGCTCTATCATTTTCATGATCAACCACCAGTCGAATTGCAACTGTCCGATCTCTATGATCCTATAGAAACTCGTATCCTAAAGGCATCTAATTATACGGGTTTAGGGTTTAGGGGATGGAGTGGGTTGGTGTAACGACCCGATCGGTTATTTTGAGATCTAGCATGTTATTCAGTGGTTTGAGGCCTTGAGTAGCTTCACTCCAAGTATTATGACTTGTACGTGTGGTCGTAATTTAATTTCGGGAAGTTCGGAGTTGGTTTGGAAAGAAAAATTATAAAATTGGAAGCTTTAAGTTGAAAGAGTTGACCAAATTTTGAGTTTTGAGCAATCGTCCTCAGAATAGGATTTGAAGGTTCTAATAGGTTCGTATGATAATTTCAGACTTGATCATATGTTCGAGTTGAGTATCGGGTGGACCGGGAGTATTTTAGCGCTTATTACGAAAGGTTGGCATTTTGAAGGTTTAATAATTTTCTAAGTTTGGGTTGAAGCGGATTTTGATGTTATTGATTTTCGTTTGGGATTTCGAGCCTGGAAATAGTTTGGTATGGTGATTTTAGTCTTAGGAGTGTGTCCAGACATTGATTTGGAAGTCTGTAGGTCGTTTCGGCGTCAATTGGCGAAAGTTAGGAATTTAGATGATTTTTGGGAAGTTTGACCAAGAGTGAAATTTTTGATATCGGGGTCACATTCTGATTTTAGAAGTGGGAGTAGGTTTGTAATATCAATTATGACTTGTGTGCAAAATTTGAGGTCAATCGGATTTGATTTGATAGGTTTCGGCATCGAATGTAGAAGTTTGAAGTTCTAAAGCTCATAAATCTTGAATTGGGTTGTGATTCATTGTTTTGATGTTGTTTGATGTGATTTGAGGCCTCGATCAGGTTCGTGTCATGTATTGGGACTGGTTGATATGATTGGATGGGGTCTCGGGGGCCTCGGTGTATTCCGGGGTGGTTTTGGACCAAGTTTGGCTGAATTTCAATTGTTGGTGCTAGTGCCAGGTTTTCTTCTTCGCGAATGCATAGGGATGTATGCGTTCGCGAAGAAGGATATTTGGGCTGCTGGTATTTTCCCATCGCGAACGCGATGAAGCCTACGCGAACGCGAAGCAGAAGCTGGGGAAGCCTATGCGAACGCGAAGGGTGCGATCGCGAACGCTTAGAAGGAAAAGGAGGAGCGGCTCTCGGAACGCGAACGCGAAGGGGCAGGGGTCGGAGGCTGCACGAACGTGATGAGGAGGTCACGAACGCGAAGAGAATTTTGGGGCAGTGACATTTGGCCTTCGCGAACGCGAGGCATTGGTCGCGAACGCGAAGAAGGGTGCGACTGTGCTGGGCAGAATGTTTTAAAAATGGGATTTGGGTTCATTTCACCCATTTTCCACACGGCTTGAGCGATTTTTGGAGCTTTTCAAGGGAGTATTTTTACCATCAAATGCAAGGTAAGTGATTCCCACCCATTTCAAATTACGTACTTGGTTTATATATGAATTTAATCATGAAAATCAGTAGGAATTTGGGATTTTGCAGAAAAACCTAGAAATTGGTATTTTTGGATTTTGACCACGAAATGGATTTAAAGTTTATCTCCGAAAAAGTTTGGAATTCGGGCACGTGGGCCCGAGGGTGAATTTTATCGAATTTTCGAGTGGAGTTAAAAATTGTTTAAATTGATTAATTATGGGTATTATAACACATTTTGATTGGTTTGCACCTTGTTTGCATAGTTTTAGATCGACAAGCAACGGTTTGAGATGTTAAAGTGGCGTTGGAGCCCGCTATGGAGTTTCTGAGCGAGGTAAGTCTCTTGTCTAACCTCGTAAGAGGGGATTTACCCCATAGGTGATTTTAATTAATATCTGATGTTAATTGTGGGGCTACGTACGCGCGAGGTGACAAGAGTCTGTACATAGCTACTAATTATGTTATGTCCGGGTAGTTTAGGACTCAAATCATGAATTACTTATAATATTTGTATCCTTTATTAATTGAAGTACTTGAATCATATTGAAAATTGTTAGAGGAAATAGTAAAAGACCGAAATTTCACATACTTGAATTTTTGTGCAAATCACTCGACTGTTAATAGAAATTGTACATCCTTATATGTTAACCTTGTGATAGCTTCTCATTTCGGAGGTTCATAAAGTGTCCTCCTTTCTTGTGGAGTGGGTAGAATACCTCGACAGTATAGATGCATCTATGGATCGTGTCGCACTTCCCTCGGCAGTATGCACGTTATTCCGGATCGGGCTGAATGACCTCGGCAGAATCGTGCGTTATCGCTAGTAGTTCGAATATTCCCGAGATAAATCTTTTCACTGAAGCCCAGCATTTGTTTTTGGTATTTCTTATTTATTTGGTATTGATACTTGGTATTTTTCTGAGATATTAATGTGGAATATGAGATCGGGAGATTTATGCTTTAAAAGAAATATTTAGAAGATTATAAACCTTACAGATTTACTCCATTACTGTTGTGCACTTCATCTCTGCCCACGCATTTATTATATTGCTTTATTGGACCTTTAGTAAGTGTCGATGTCGACCTCTCGTCACTACTTCTTTGAGGTTAGACTTGATACTTACTGGGTACGTGTTGTTTTACATACTCATACTACACTTGCAGTATATTTTACGAATCCGGAGCATACATAGTCTCCAACAAAGTTATTTATATTCTCCTGTCTAATTTGTATTCTAGACAGAGGTTGTATTTTATCATATTTCCTAGTTGATGCTCATGTACTTGTGACACCGGATATTGGGGGTTCCTACTGGATGTTAGTATGGTAATTCACGTAATTATCATTGTGTCACTCTGTAAATTCTATTTCATACTATTTAATTAGTGAAAATTATGATTTCAAAAGTAATAGAAATGAGTAATTAAATTAGCAAATTATCATTGGCTTGCCTGACGGCGACGTAAGGCGACATCATGATCTATAGTGAATTCTGAGTCCTGACAGTAGGCCCTAATCAACCCCCACATATCGTCTATTCGTCTAGCGCAGAATGTCTGGGACAAACACTGCCCCTCCCATATGTATGAAGACATATGCTCGGCCTGTAGCAACAGTAGCTCTAGCGATGCAGGTCCGGGATGCACATGCAGAACCTCTATGACAACTACTGTAAATTGAACAATATTAATTAAAGTATTTTTTTTAATTGCTTAACATCTTTAAATATATTGGAATATGTTTAATATTAAAATTTATTCTATATTTTTACTATATTGATAATTATGTTGATACATTTTTTATGTTATAATTTTATATTTTATATGTTGGTTTATCATTTTATATGTTAGTTTATTATTTTATATGTTACTTTATTATTTTATATGTTAGTTTACTATTTTATATGTTTGTTTATTATTTAATATGTTAGTTTCTTATTTTATATGTTTATTTCTTATTTCATATGTTAGTTTATGATTTTATATGTTTGTTTCTTATTTTATATGTTTGTTTGATACTCACCTATTTTTTACTATAATAAAATTAAATAATTAATTTTTATAACTATACAAGATTTAATTATTAAATATTCATATAACAATACTTAGTTTGACACATATTGTTATTTTCTAATATTATTTTCGTACGTTTGTTGACTAGAATTCGAGAGAGTTTGTGTTTGAACTACACAGATACAACGCTAAAGGGCACTACATTTTAAATACGAGCACTACATTAAAATTACGGGCACAACATACCACTACGGGGAACTAAACAATATTAAAGTCACATATTCATATATGTACAACAATAATATCTAAATAAGATTAATTATTCCTAAAATAACAATTTATCTATCTTACTAATCTTTTAACAAAATAAATAATCTAAATCGGATTAAAATAACAAATTAATTTAATCACAAAATAATCACGAAAAAATATATACCACAGTAAAAATTAACTAATTAATATTTTTTTAACAACTAATAATATTTTTTCTATTTTACTAATTATTTTTAGCACACTAATAATATAATCCAGATAAAAAATAATAAATTAATTAAATCACAAAACAATCACGAAATAATATAGAACACAGTAAAAAATAACTAATAGGTATTTTTTTATACATGAGTTTTAACAAAAAATAAGTCGGAATACCTCGATTTTAATTTTTTTAAAAGTTGAAGATTTGGAGATTTGAAGCCGAAACGAGCAACCCACTAGGAGATAGCGCCTTAGATACGATGTGGGACCAAGAATCTACACTTTTTGTGGGACCGATGGGCTCCAACCGAGTTTGTTTTGGATAAAAATGATGGGGGGACCGCTGAAATTTTTTTAAAGGAGGGGGGTCTGGTGGTTCGCGTCTGGTGGGGAAGGAGAAGGGCCGTTTATTTATATAGGTATAGATCTCATATATACCACGCTATACTATAGCGCGGTACATATGCGCGCTATACCTTCCCGCCCATTTTATGTTCAAATAAAGCGCGGTTATTGACCGCGCTATACATATTATGGTGCCCAGTTGTTCTTCCATATATTATGGTTCTTTGAGTCTAAAAGAATCACACTTTGGTTCCGGACTCAGTCGATGACATGTAGGGAAAAATAAGGGGATGGGACACGATGGTCGAGGGGTTTTGTTTGGAATTCTAATGGGAAACAAGATTTGTCAAAGTATTTTATTTCTGTGAAATAAGCACATACTCCCTAACTAAGTAGAAGAGACAAACAAGTCAAAAGTCAAGTAATAAAGTCAACAAAATTAATTAAAGAAATATAAATAAAGAGAACATGATATATGTAAAAACATGAAAATTTTAACCAAGTAGAAAAGACAAACAAGTCAAAAGTCAAGTAATAAAGTCAACAAAATTAATTAAAGAAATATAAATAAAGAGAACATGATATATGTAAAAACATGAAAATTTTAACCAAGTAGAAAAGACAAACAAGTCAAAAGTCAAGTAATAAAGTCAACAAAATTAATTAAAGAAATATAAATAAAGAGAACATGATATATGTAAAAACGTG